CCCGGTTTGGGGTGGAGCAGAACCACCTTTCTGTTCAGTGAGCTAGGCTCTTGCTCTTACTTATTGCTGTGGCAACCAGGGGCAGCTGACATTGTTGTTTAGCCCATGGAGGGATTGCGCCTGTGGGGAAGAGTGGACAGGGTGGGTGACCCAAACTGACCAGTAGGGTATTCCATCCCATCTGCCATACTCAGTGTAAAAGCTGAGGGATCAAAGAGGTCAGGTTGGCTCCTCTTCAAGGGGTCTTAGTCAGTGGCTCTCTTGTCAATCACTGAGGAGCACCATGTCAGTTTGTCTACTTTTGATTCTGATCCATGTGTTCCTGAAGGTAGATCTGGAATCCAGTTCCCATTTATCACAGAGTCCAGTCTAGAACTTTCCCAGTGCCTGCTGGTGACATTTCCCCGGGAGCTTGATATGGTTTTGTATATATTGCATCTATTTCATTCTTTCCTTTTTAATTTTATTATTAATATTTCATTAAAGTAGTTTAGTTTTTCCTAAACTATAAATCCTTCCTCTCTTTATTTCCTCTCCTTGGAGCGAGAGGTGGGGAAGAACCCTATGTCATTGGCCAACCCGGCCCAAACAATGACAGGTATTGTTGGAAAAGTTTTGCAATTCTATTAGGGCAACAAGGAAAACCAAATCTCAGACAGAGTCTAAAATGAAAAACTACATATACTTTCTGTTCCAGATTTTGTTGAGCACTGGTAGAAGCAACTGAATTGTCAAGTATCATCTGAGGCACTGAACAGTCACAGCATGACCATACCTATTCATAGCCTTAGTCTCTTCTCTTCTTCCTCTTTTTCATACTTTGACATTTGGACTTTCCTCTAGAATGTGTCCCTTAGGGCTAGAGGTTGTCACACCATGATGTCCCTTTCATGGGGCCTGATCTCCTCTACTCCCTCAGGTTTCTTCCCCTGTGGCCTTTTTTGGTGTTCTGTGACTTCCCCTCATCTGCTCTCCCAGTCCCTCCAGTATTCTGCATGGGACGTGGGTTAAGTTATGTTTTTTGTAAACAGTGGAGCTTTAAATGAGACAAGTTGAGGCCTTACTAAAAGCAACTAGACATTTAAACAGGAGCCAGTGGTATTTGATGGTTTAGCAACTCAAAAGCTAGTATTTCATTACAGGGTTGTTTGTAAGTGCGTGCAGTAACAACTGCGTAGCAAGCTGCCTTAGATTATCTTACAGTTGTACTGCAGAGGAGGTGGAAATAAAAATTTAGTAATGGCAGAGGAAAACTTATAACGGCTGTCTTTGGCGGTTAAGCTACCTTTGATGGCTGAACCTTCTCTCACATGGCTGCTGTAAGGCAAAAATCAGTTGAGGCCTAAGCATAAGATGTCACTCTTCATATCTATCCATCTACCTTCGGAGTCATTCAAAGCCAGACCTTTGTCTTCTACTCTATGTCCCTGTTGTGCTGTAGAAGGAAAATGTTCCCTGCTTGCTACATGTACCAGCTGAGCAGTGTCTCCTTTCCAAATCCTTAGGTCAGAAGAAGTTGCAGGTCACTGGAGAATAAAGCAAGGGTTCACCATAGCCTGGTTACTAATGTAGAAACACCAGTGATGCAAACAATTTGGGCAGGGACTGGAGAAAAGAGCTTATTCCAGCCAGTCAGTATTCTTATTTCAGACAAACTTCTTACAATCTAAATTCAGCTAGATTTTGCCATGTTAAAATCATATACTGTAGCTGTTTTTTTGCCTCAGCTTTCTAATAAGGGCAGGTCAAAAAGCACAGTGTAAAGCTATATATGTTTCCTATTTTTGAATGTTCTCCTGTAATTAGCAGAAGTTTTAAAAATGGTGTTTAAAAATCCCTCCCTGATATCTTCAGCAATATCTGTAATTATGCAAGACTTCTAGAAATCTTTCCACCTGGAAAATTGTGATCCAATATCAAGTAAATGGATATATCCCCTTGCACGCAGAGGACCTGTGCTTTGAATATTTAGCTGTTATGGTCTGTATGGTACAGCTAATCTTACATAAGGTCAAAAATTAAATGCAGCTATGAGGTCTTTTCCACACCACAGCAAGCTCTCCTCCCGCTTTGTCAGGGATGCATAACTATGGCATAAGGTTTAATCATGCCTGTTAATGTTTAAGCAATTTCATATCTACAAATAAAGGCAGTTTGCTTGTGGCTTTGAATTCTCAGAAGAAAAAGTGCTTATATATTTTCCTAGCATATTGCATGACCAGAAAAGAAAAGGAAATAATTTTAGGAGAATTAAAAATTGTTTGAAAAAGGGAACTGTTACACTAATTACTTTAGTTGTTTGGACACAATAAAAAGAACAAAGTCATAAGGATTTCTTAACGGTAAAAGACCTTATATTAGAAGAGAAACTACCAATTACCCCGTTGATTGGCAAAGCTCACCCAGCCGCACAGAGTGAATTTGAAACGTGTGATTCTTTCCAAGGTGAATAAGGTGGCAAAATCATTAACCATTCTCAGAACACATCTATCTTAATTAAAACCTACCCCCCTGTGACGATGATATAGGCAACCCAGCTTCTCCAGACACTCACAGCTGGCATCCGCATCAATCTTGTTGACAAAGACTCTTCTTCAGAACATGTGCTGTAATGTTTTTTTCTCTCCCATGTGGGGCTTTTTGAAGCAAAAACATTCCTGTAGGTTCTGGCAGCTATCAGAGTCAGCAGCTCAGCACTGCCCCTGAACCACTCATATATTTGCTAAGGGGTATAACATAACATGAGCTAACATTAGGCTTTCTTTTTCCTTACCTTCTGTCTGCTAAACTAGCAACAAGCATTCCAATAGTCAGGTCAACTAACAACATACCTTTATGACTACAAAGCACCTCCAGCAAAACAAGTTGCAGCTTCACTTTGGTTTAAACAAGACTTTGAGGAGTCACACTTGAGTTTTTCCACGTGCCACCTGATTTCACTGGTACACTTGATCACAGAATCATCATAGAATGGTTTGGGTTGGAAGGGACCGTAGATCATATTGTTCCAACCCCCCTGCCATGGACAAGAACACCTCCCACCAGACCAGGTTACTCAAAGCCCCATCCAGCCTGGTCTTGAACACCTCTAGGGAAGGGGCATCCACAACTTCTCTGGGTAACCTGTTCCAGTGTCTCACCACCACCACAGTAAAGAATTTTTCCCCAGTATCTAATCTAAATCTCCCCTCTTTCAGTTTAAAACCATTACCCCTTGTCCTGCTGCGTTCCCTGATAAGAGTCCCTCCCTACCTTTCCCGTAGGCCCACTTCAGGTACTGGAAAACCACTATAAGGTCTCCCCTGAGCCTCCTCTTCTCCAGGCTGAATAACCCCAACTCTCTCAGCCTCTCCTCATAGGAGAGGTGCTCTGGCCTTCTGATCATCGTTGTAGCTCTCCACTGGAACTGTTCCAACAGGTCCATGTCCTTCTTATGTTGGAGGCCCCAGAGCTAGAAGCGGTACTCCAGGCAGGGTCTCACCAGAGTGGAGTAGAGGGGCACAGTCAGCTCCCTTAACCTGCTGGACATGCTTCTTTTGATGTAGCTGAGGGTGCTGTTGGCTTTCTGGGCTACGAGCACACTGCTGGCTTGTGTTGAGCTTCTCATCCACCAACACCTCCAAGTCCTTCTCAGCAGGGCTGTATGAGCAGCTGAATGAAATCAGTAGAAAATTGTGCTCATAATGCAAGTATCTCAAGCAGCTGTGTATCAAATGGTGCTTAAGTAGTTAAAGAAAATTTATGTTAATCAACTTATAAAAAACTAGATCAAATCTTATGACTACACATGTGGAGTTACTGTAGGTAAATATTTCTGGAAATGATGTGCCAGAGTGTTTAGACTAAACAGCAAAGATACTTGCTTCTTAATTACAGTGGTTTCTGCTACATGATTATAGATTAAAGTGTGGAAAATGAGCACGTCAGCTACTCCTTTAAAATTTAGTTTAACAAAAAAGGGCTAAGAATGTCCTTTCATACATTTTTTTTAATAGAACAACAACGCTCTTCCTGAATTGGTAATTCACTTCATATAGTTACAGTTACACAGAAAAATTTTACAGGTTTAAATGGAAATGCTCTCTTGAAAAACCCTTCATAAAAAAAAAGAAAAGTCTGTGTACATAGGTAGTATCATTTTTCAAAGTCTGTAACTTCATTACTTTAAAAGCAGAAATCCAAACCACAGCTGTTCTCAGACATCCAAATTGCTTAAATTGGACCATTTAATTTTAAATATTTTAAAGCCGATTCTGAAGGATGCCACCCTCATATGATCTAAATGCAAAACTGCTAGATTAAGAAAAGTGATTTTTTGAGGTCTGGGTGTGAGAAAACTGATACTGACAATGACATATTAATGTGTCAATGATAAATAAATACAAGAACTTAAAATTCAAACCACCAGCAATCTTATACATCATTCTCCTTTTTTTTTTCTGGAAAGGATATAAAAGATTCAAATGTCAGAACTATAATGTCAGAACTGTTTATAATGTCAAGTGATGCATGTTGCATACTCTTAGTATATTCCATTGATCAACCCAAAACCTGGGATAATAATTGCAGGTGATGGAGCACATTTCATGTGCAAATGGACGTGGATTTGAAGTGGAGTTGGAAGAAAAACACTTTCATATTGAAGTCTTAATAATTGTTTCATTAAACCTGCACCGATCCGTGCACAAATTATTTTGCATAAAGCTGATGCTTCTAACAATAACTAATATTAGTATGATGCCTGCAGGGCACTGTCAGCCAAGGAGAACTTATTCTTACGATATAATGTAGTAATTTGATAAAACTTGTTGCAGACTTGAGAGAGAATCAATCCCAACAGAACTAGGGAGAACTATAAATTTCCCTTTGCAGACAGTTCATGCAGTTCGTTTCAACTCATAAAATTAATCTTGTTATTCATAAGGTAAGGTTGAATTGTTTTTAATGTGGTTTCCTTAGAAGATGAGGCACATGTGATCGTGCCACCTGTGAATGCCTTCCCTGCACTCCCAACAGCTGCCACCTTCAGAGACAATTGCAACCCAGTTTGAAAGATGGAGTAAGTCTCAAAGAGTCTAAATTGCTAAAAGCTTTTGCCCACGTATCTGGGCAGGGCAAAGATACCTAAATTAGTACTCCCTGTCAGGGAAAGGCAGGAAAAATTCAGCTGTTAAACAGTCTGTTTGGCAGAAGCCAGCAGTTCCATCAGCAGGAATTAGTCACGATACCTCTTACCTTTTGTCTCATGCAGCTGTGGCAAAGAGCCCAATGAAAAGGAGAACATACAATTCAAAGGACACAAATCTCTGGGAAAACAGATTGCTTACAAAATTATTTGGTTTTAGCTATTCTTTGAACTTCTAATTTTACTCTACAAAGATAACAGAATTTCATTCCAGTGCTTCTATAAAAGGTTAATTTGAAAGAACATTAGCTGAACCCTGCCAAAACCATCAAAACATCACATTATTTTAATTTACAGATGTAATAAAATCAGGAGTGGTAGACAGTTGGTTAAGGAGGATGCACATCTTGGGAATATTAAGATGAAGTGCTTTCCAGAGAACTTACTCCAATTTTAAGTACTGATAAGAGCAAATGTTAAATTAATGCAAACCAGGCTTCATTCTTAATTGATCCATATAGAACCCAGTCCTACCTAGAAGTTTATGTCCACACTTTGAATAGCAGGTTAAATAGCCCGTACTTGAAGAAGTTTATTAACTCCTTGTCTTCTAGCAAGGCTGCATTTTGCAATATTTTCAGTTCCTTACTTAGACTCCAAATAAGTTATTTGTATTGCATCAAATAGTTTTCTGTTACATGTGAGCAAAGGTTTGTATTCTGTGGCTGCCACAGTCATTAGCAAGGGAAAGAATAAAGAAAAGGAGAGATGCGGAGTCGAGTGAAAATTGTTACTCCTGGAGCAGGCTGCTCAGTATTGTTTGGGCAGGCTTTGATGACATCAGGCTCCCTGAATATATAAAATATTATCTTCCTTGAAATGATGCCACAGATGCCACATCCGTCACTGTTTCCTTCAGATGCTGTGTCTCCTGCCACTCTGTATGACTTTGAGTACGTTGGAAAGGTCAAAACTTTTTGTAATCAATTCCATTAGGTCTTCATCTCTTTCCACGCCATTGATAAATTCTTCTAAAGTCAGCTCCCCTGAAAGGAAATCAGATACTTCTTAGGAACAGAGGAACCCAGCAATTGCTCTCAGACAAACACAAGGCCATTCGTGCCTGATTCTGTCCCTCAAGAATGTTCCTCATTCTTTTCTGATAGGCAAATGCAAGCAGAATATTTTCTATTGTTTTCCCACTTTGCATCAGATCCTAGAACTCCGACTGTTTTTTTTTTTTGTTACAAGAGATCAAACACACCTTTCACAGAAGTCAAGCCAACTATGAATACTCAGTATCTATAGTGACAGAAATGTGTGAAAAAGGGTGCTAATGAAGCCTGTATCAAGGCTGAATTTAGCTGCGTGGACCAATTCTTACTGAGCTAAAAGGAATTTATCTTATGTCTGGTTTTAACAGAGATTAGGGGGTGATTTGCTGAGGATTACCAGGGATACTCCCTGTGTTGACTACTGGGATTATTTGGAGCCACGATTAGATGTAGTAAAAAAAAAATCGGTTAAGTGGTTTGATTAGATAAATTCTTCCAAGCAAATGAAATGGTCATTTATAGCGTGAATTTTTTGGCTCATGTCAAAGTCATGACAGCTATAAAATCTTTTTTTATTGAGGAGCAGGATTATCATTTAGCATTATTCCTTTTTTTCTTCTTTATTCCCTGTTGGAAAAGGCAAAGGCCAGCCCTAGGCATGTGTCTGCTCACATTGTACACAGGAGTGTACACAATTTTCTGGTTAGAAGTTATTCCAGTGTTTTTCTCTGAAAGGGGAAACAGAACCTGGTTTAATTGGAAGAGCTTGATTCTTTCCTCTGAGAACAGTTTAAAGTTTCTTGTTAAAATCACAACAATGAATGATTTCTCACTGAAATAAGAAATGACAGGAGGCCAAGTAAAGAGGAAGATAGCTGGATGACTTAGAGCCCCGGGGTGCAGGGGAGCAGTAATTCAAGTCTCATGCACTTTTGGTGAATGCTTAGCTAGATGACTTTTGGGTATTTTTGGATTTAAGTACTCCCCAGAGTTTTTTTGTGGATTTTTGTTTGTTTGTTTGTTTGTGACAACTTGGAAACTTCACCTGATGTGAAAAAGGAAAATGATCAGCATTTGAAAAACATTAAACCCACTTTCTACCTATAGGCAGTAAAGTCATATGGGTCCTCACTGCAGTGGTGAGCAGGCTCATATACACGCTATTAAAGTGGAAGGATGTCATTTGACAGAAATCTTAGGCTTCAGTGAGAGGAGTAAGACTCTCTCCAGGGTCTGGCGCATAGTGGCCCTGAGGATGTTCACACCTCCTATTTCAACCCCAGTGCCCTTATGTAGTCATCCCAGGAGCAGAGACCGAGCAAGCCGTCTCTCCACACCTGTCTGCTTCCTCCTGCTTAGCCACTCATCCACTCCCTCTGATCTCTTCTTCTGTCCCAGGCCCTCCTCTTACTTACAAAGTACCAGTACCAGAGTGCAAGCATACAAAACTCACTGCAGTTACCAGTGAGATGTGATTACACTGTCATGCCCAGACTCGCGGCGACCGTGACGGGTCTCAGATTTCTTTGATCGAATGCAAATAAATTGCAAAGCCATCAGGAGATTTATTTTAAGAAATGCTCCCTACAACCATGGGATTATTTCTTGCATTTTAATGTGAGGAAAGACATTGCAACTTATTTGTCTATTTGCCCTTTTCTTTAATAAGAAGCTGCAAGGAGGTAGCATAGTTTAAGCTGAACTTGGTTAAATTTGTCCCATTCCTCATATACAGCTAGTTAGTCCTGCTGGTTTGCAGCTGTTTAAAAAATAACTAACTATGGAAGCAGTTTGAAATGGGAGTATCAGAAAGATAATTCTGAATAATTCATGTTCTGGCATTTCATTGCTAAAACCTAAAACACAAAGGCATGATTAAGGCAACATAAACATACTAAAAAGATACTTCGATCACATTTTCATTTTGCTCTGCAACCAGAGCCCTGGCATTTTGTATGAACAGTGCAAGACCTCCATGTTTTACTCCCTACTGCATGTAATTCCTATGTCAGCTTAATTGATACAGTTGATTTACACTTTGCTGTAAAGCTGGTGCGATATGAGTAAAGCAAAACAAGGTCAGGCTTTCAGTTCATCTAAAGTCAGTTGTTCGGTAGTGTGTTCAACTCCCCTCTTGATCCCATACTTCCTTATGGGGGGAAATCCCTGCCAATGCCAAGGAAACTAAAATTCTTACCATCATTGTTCACATCTATCTTCTGAAATATCATGTTTGTGAACTCTTCAGCAGACATGTTGGTGTGGCCATTAATAGCCTGGATAGCCTGAAGGAAGAAATGCAGAAAGTTCTTTCAGACTTTTTTCCATCAAGTTGTAAAAACAATACACTGGCAAAGGCAGTAATTGCATTGCAGCTCTTTAGTGCACCAACCCTTTCAAAAAATCACTAAATAAATAGCTAAATCTTCAGTAATGAGGATTGGAAATTTAATTAACATCACACAGCCTGAAGATTACAGACTAATTTACATATCTCTGAAGGTCTTCTGAAACCATGTGGCACCTCTGCTCTGCAAAACACTTTAGATTCCATACCAGCATTTTTATCTGGCCCCAGAGAGTTCTGTGTCTTTGGAGAGTGCCCTGTGGCCTGTGTGATTTAAATATAGTATTATTTTTCACAGCTGAAAGCACATGAGGAGAAAGCCTAAGTCATTTTTCTATGAAGACATGTTTAACTTAGTAATCAAAAATAAAGTCAGACCAGCAGTCCTGGAAGTTGGCAGAATTTACTTGTCCTCCAATGAAATTAAGAAAACCAAAAGTCTCCCATCTACTATTTCTGTGGCAAAGTGACACAATATTTGGAGTGAAGTTATACATGATTATTTTTGCTAAATTTTATCCTATTCACCGGGACAGTAGTTTTTTTGATCAATAAAATAGGAGCCTATATGTTAATAGCAGTGGTCCAGAAGCAACAAGCATATGTCTGACCCTGATGCAGTCTTCAGAAGAAGGTTGTACCTCTGCCACACTTAGATTTGTTGTAGTTATAAGAGCAAAGCAGTGGTTCCTGAAGTACTTAAATCACTGGCTATCAGAGAATTACCTTAAATAATAAAATAATCGGGCACTAAAAAGGCACTGAGAGGGTGCATAGTTGTCTGGAAGGAATTTTGGTTGGTAATGATCTGCTGGTCCAAAGTTTGCATAGGTGTAGGGACAGTTGAAGTTTTAATAGGACTTCTGTGGTTTAAATTAATGTCTCAGATATGACATACCTTTTTGGACAAACCTTGTTTACTGATACTTAGTATAAGGAGGGCCCTTAATGGCTGTGAGCCTGTATTTTTATTTTTTGTTTGGAGCCCACTGATTTTAATCTAGCCTAGGTCAAAATTTAGGCAGGTTTAAGTTAAAGTTCTCGTACTCGAAAAGAGGAGAAAATGCGCAGGTTTAAACTGGTTTTAAAATCAAGTAAGTTGAAAAAGAAATCTTTACATTAAAAGGATTTTAGTTCTCTTTTCAGATAAAGTCCAAGACAAAACACAGTTGCCTCATTGCTTCTGGCTGAAAAATGATGGAGAATATCTGCAAAAGAAAGATGTCATTGGTCTTAAATGAGGAGAAATCTGGGAGATGCAGCCTCTCCTTCTACCTTTAAAAAGCTGTTCTTTAAAAGGTGATGCATCAACTTTATCTGTTTGACCTTGTGGCTCTATCTGGCTCCAGTTCCTTTTAATTTGGGCAGCAGGTCTTGAAAGTCTCTAACAGCATCTAACAGGCACCAGCAGTAATACAGAATCCAAAGTATGTTCCTTATTTATTATGACATTAAATCCCTATTTAGATTTTATGCTCCCTGAGAAAAACCATGATCTGCAATGAGTCCTGTACATTTAGGGAGCAGTATTAAGTCATTCATGTTTGCAAGAAACCCTGTAATATCTTTTGGATGAAAGCAGCTACTGAATTCCAAAACATTATTTCGTTAGAGCAAGTTGAAAAATACATAAATAATTTTAAAGAAGGAATTACACTGCTTTGGTTTTATGGGTTTGAAGTTGACCCATTTTCTGCAAAATTCTCTACAATATTTGTATCCAAATTTCACTGTGTGAACTAATAATAAAATTATTCCCCCCACTTGAATTATAAAATAGGGGTAATGGCATTGTAGTAAAAAATTCTAAAAAACTTTCAAAAAATTAAAATACTGGAATATTTTGATAAAATATATATAGTTTCTTACAGTAAATTCAGTTTGAAAACCCAGTTTTTCACAATAGACTGGTGCAAACACTTGTAACCAGCTGTTTTATTAATTTTGCTGCTTCAGTTCTACCCTGCTTTATAGTATAGTTTATCACAATAATGTCTCACTGTTTCTACAGTTTTTCACTTTCAGTAAGCGTTGTATCTGTAGCACTATGGTTTAAAGTACAATACTACTTAGATATGTTTACTTCAATAAGCCAGAAACTAATGGCAGGACTGTTGCTGGCCAGAAAAATTCTGGTTTTACAACTGTAAAACATTAGGTAAAGTACAGACAATCCATTTACAGCACATGATGGAACTATTTTTTCAGGGGCAACGCACTATGTCAAATGCTCTTGCTATTGGTCATAATTTCCTTACCGTGAATATGCTTAGTAGTTCTTTTTTGTCAATACATCCATTTCCGTCAGCATCGTATAGCTTAAAATACCATTTCAATTTTTGGTCAATTTTTCCTCGTATAACCAAATTTATTGCAGCTATGAACTCCAAGAAGTCTATAAATCCATCCTAGGAGAGAGAGAGAAAAAACCCATAAACTATTTAACAACATTGGTTTTCTATTCATTCTGGCAATTTCACAGAAACAGGTCATTGAATTCACTATAATAGACAATGATTTATAAAGCACCTTAACGTAGAAATCCCCTGTGGTGTTTAAAAAGGGTGTGCTCAGCTGGAAGCACTATGGGAAGGGGCGTTAGCACAGACAGTTTTGTTCTCCCCTGAAAGCTGGGAGCCATAGAGGTGGGGGGCAAATCTGTTCTGAGCAATTGTTGTTGACGTTTTTTGAGGAGAAGAGAAACAGTTTTGTGTTAGACTTCCACATGTGAAAAACAGGAGTCTGGGATATCTGTTTTGGTACTAATGAGATGTCTGCGATGGGGTTGCTTATATTCGTATGGGTACTGCAGAACTACAGATGATTTCCAATGCAACAGAGCTTCTCCAGGTGTTACTCATCTGAGACATCATGTAGCAAGTAACCAGCAACCAGTAACCAGCCATGAACTCCAGATACTACGTTTTTTCCATATAAACATCAGGTCTCTTTGACTAATACATTTTACACGGGATATAAAGCCCTCCAGTCATAAACTAGTCTCTAAATAGTGAGGATTGGGGGATATTCATAGGGAATGAGCATTTCAGATTGTTTTAATTCCAATTCCATATTTTCTGCTTTCTTCTCTGAAACTAGTTATGGAAACCTGTCAAGGACAGGCCTCCATGGTCAGGTGGTCTAAGTCACTGTGACAGTTCCTCTATTTCTGTAAAAATGTGGTGAGGATGGCAGAAACAGTTGCTGAATTTGGAGAGTGCTTGCTCCAACTGTTTCTCATGTCCATATAAAAAGAATTAACAGCTGTTAAATTTAAATTTGTGATCTTTATGTTGGTCAGAATCCAATTGTTTGGAAAACCTTGGAAAGACTGTCATCTGTTTCAGATGGCTTGTGACTCAGAAGAGAAGGTTGGATGAGTATCTAGTAGGTTTAGCACGTTAATTATTTTTATTGTCATACATCAACACAAGTCTTGCCACCTGAGGTTTTACAGCCAGCAGCCCTCAAGACTCAACTAGACTAAAGGAAAAGAAGTCCTGTAAGGGTGCAGTGTGCCTCATTGCTGTAGTTGAAGTCCTCGTTTTGACTTCTGTGCAAGGCTGTTCGGCCTTGAGTGGCCCATAAGAGGTAAATCCAGTGTTTCAAACACACTGGAATCAATGTATATGCAGAAACAGTGCGTGCATAGCTTGTGCAGACTGACCATTACTTCACAGGCTCTTTGTGCAGGTTCTGCTGCAGCTGCTGGATTTACTGTAATTGGAATCACAGCAAACTCAGCGAAGGCAAAGACACCATTCATCCACTGTTTGGCATTAAATGAAATTTGGCAGTAACTGCATGTAGTTTTCAAACAAGATTAGGCCAGTATTAAAAACAGATGCTTTAGCAAAAAATGACACATCTACCACAAACTTTGTGCTTCTTTTTGGCACACCAGCTTGAATTTCAATTTTCCAAGTGTTATTCCAAGAAGCATCTCATCAAGTATTTTACTGGAGGGCAAAGTTTGTTTTGCTGATTATGTTTCCATCATCTGATTTGATAGATCTATTGAGACTATGGTTAGATGCATTTCACATTGTTGCTTTTTAATTGCATTTCATAACACTTATTGAAACTACAGATTAATTTTAGGATTGCTGGATGTCTAGAATTAATTTTCTTCTTTGTCCCTTACATTTCATGTGGGATTTTGGAAAATAGTATTTTTTTCACTTTCTTCCTGTGTCTTGGTGTCACTGTTCTTGCTCTGGCAAAATATCAGGAGCTTTGAAAAAGTAATAATCATCTTAATGTGTTCAGCTATGTAATTCTGATCTGGTGCATCCTTTACCCTGCCCCAAGCAGGTAGGGACTGAAGGCCAAGGTCAAAAAACTCCCCACCTCTGAAGAACACCTGAGAGAAATTGTAATTTCTAGGAAAGCCCCAGCCACATTCTGTAGACATGCAAAGGTCACTGGCGAAAAACCCTCAGCAGCCAGTGCATCAGGAGTAGAATCACTGAGAAGGCAGACATGTTTATCTACAGGATGTGGAACCAGAAGCACTGCGCAAAAGCACTGATGAGAAATGTACTGGTTTTCCTTTCTACATTAAAAGACGTGTTGGAGGTAAAAAAGAAAACATTTATGTGGTGTAGAAAGTAATGTTACACACGTACAGAGCTTTCTCAGGTAAAGAGAAATACTGCACTTTTTACAGTTGTTTCCAAAAGCCTCAGAACAGTACATTAAATAATGAAAAAAGTCATTACAGTAACCGATGAAGATCATCCTGTGGTTCTGTGAGTACAACAAATAATACAATAGATGTGTTATGATGTTATTAGAAGAATAGTGCCATGCTGATTTACCCATCTGCTGCGCTATAACCATTCACAATACAAGTATCTAGGTAGGTCCTTACATGTCTCCAGGCTCTATAAAACTTCACTCTGTGCTGTGCACATGGTAAAGTATCTGTTGCTCATTAGGAAGTCAGTAATTCACAAGCAAAGGGCTACTGTAAAAATAATAAAATAAAATTTAAAAAAAACCCACCCAACAATATAATGAGCAGAGCTGATTACCAGTGGTGAAAGATATAAATAATTTACTTCTGGTGCTTTAATATCTTATTCCAAAGAGCAAATTTCTAGTATTTCTATTAAATAGAATTAATGCTGGCTAAACTTGCTTATTTGACAGCTTAGCATAGGGGGCAGATTTGGGTGATGGTGGCATTTTTTTGTGTGTTAAGGCTTATTTTCCATGCTGTATGGTGCTGGCCATGCCGTTGTCGGCTGCAGCACAATTACGCTAGGATACCATGGGCGTCTGGAGGTGTGGTGAGATCCAGCTGCCTTCCCTGCCCGTGTGTGCAGAGCCAGCTGCAGTGAGGGCACAGTGCAGTGGGTAGGTACCCACTCCGGATATGGTATGAAATGGAGGGGTAGAAATCTCCTCCTCCAATTCTGAGGAGTGAGCTGGAGAGACACCAAAAAAAAAAAAAAAAAACACCTATGTCTTGCAAGACGTGTACTGTTGGGGAAAAGAAACATAACCTAGGCTTATGGGCTAACTACATACAGCAGTTTTTAATTTTAGTTGAGTTTACCCAGGATGCTTTTTGCTTTTAAGTAACAGATATCTGCAGTAGCTGTGGAAAGCTTACTTTAGCTTTTAAATTTTTTCCCCCCAGTGGAGGGAGGGGGGGAAAACCCAAAAAAAAAAAAAAAAAAGGTTTCAAAACTTCTATGTGCCCCATGGGGGCACTTTCTGTTTACCATAGTAGACTTAATAAAAAAATACACTTTTTCTCTAGTCTCTAACGGCTTGACCAGATGAGCTAGAAGCTTAAGAACTCATTACAGTTGTGCACGTGTTTGTACCCTTTGAAGCTGTGTTTTTGTAACTTGTTTTGCTTTCACTGATGAGTGATTTTTTTTAAGGTGCTTGGAACAGTTGGATTCACAAAAGAAAGACAAAAGAAGGCTCCAAACCTGGAAGGAGAATTTGCTGATGATATAAAAATGATCCTCATGGCCCTGAGGGCACCACCAGGCCTGACTGCCCCTGCCCTGGGCCCAGTTTCAGTTGCTGATTTGCTACTGGATCTCCCAAGGAGAAAGCAATTTAATTTTATATTTGTAAGGAAAGTTTTGGCTTCAAAATGTTCAGAACGTTCAGCTCACTTTTGTTTGTCCTGCGAGGGCAAAGCCGGGCAGGGAGGAACAGCAGCGTTACACAACAGCCATCCATTAATACCCCAGCCCTGGAGCCGTAGGAGGGCATTTACCCATCGGTTCCCAGAATAACATTGTTAATCTTCACAGCTCCTTAAAAAACTCTCACAGCTTCAAACTATTTGAATACGGATTAAAAATAATTGACTTGTCAGCTGTGAGTACACAGCTGATCTTAAGTGGCACGGTTCTCGAGGCTCAGCCAGAATGAATTGAACTCCTTTTGAATGTTTTGTCTTGTCTGCCTGGCCCTTATCCGAAGGCGATTTCCTACCCGTGTGGATGTAGTGGGACTGGGACAGTGGGCCAGCCATCTCCCACAGCCACCACAGCTATGCGTGTGGGAAGGGCAGATTTCTGTCCCCGCGAAATCCTACCATGAGTGAGCCCATTGTCTTATCTTGGTGTGCTGAGGACTCTGTGGAAAGTCTGTACACAGTAAGCCACATCCCGTTTTCGAGTTTGCTCCTGAAAAAATCTCTAAACTCAGCCTGACACCAGGAGAATAGCTCAACAGGCTTTAGCAGGATTAACAAGTGTGCAAATATAGACAGTCTAGGTATTTCAAACCTAGAGCTTAGGACATTAAGCCGCCTCCCCTCCCCACCCCCTGTCTTTCAGAATACTACTTAAACCTCATAAGGCAGAGGGAGGGGGCACAGGTCAAACGACAGATTACAACAGCTCAGAATAACTGTGAAATTTATAGCTAATCCTATATGCTTCTCTCTCTCTCTTGAGCCAATTTCAAATATAGCGCCGCTTTCTCTGCCCTCAGAACTAAAGGAGAATTCATTTTGCTCCATTTCATCTTCCCCTATTTCCTTGCTTTCTTTTTACTCCTGAAGGAAGACTTTCAGCTGTTCCTCAAAGGCTGCACAAGCATTTTTGAAGAAATACAGAGCTACTTGTGAACTCTATTGCTTTGACATGTCCCTAAGGTCTGATATTGCTGATATTGGAGTTTGGGGCTCCAGATTCCCTACAGACTGTGACCAGAATCACCAGTTTCCTAAGTAAACAAAGCTGGCATTTGTCACGGGGGAAACCCTTGGCAAGCAAAGGCTATTAGATTAGGATGAAGAACGAAGCAGGGAGTTAGGAGCTGGAAATCATTAAGTGGTTTTGTGACAGTTGCCTACCCAGGGTTATATAAAGAGGTGAGGCTGTACTCACCAGACTGTTACACAAAGTTCTGCTTTGCCCAGATGAAGAGG